CAGGAGACCCACGCCAATGTTAACTTATGAAACGCTAGGTCAGCCAACAATTCGGTCACACCCGACATTGAACAGATTAGAGACTTACAAGATAAATCAGACACCATATTGGGGGTTATCTCACCACATTCCACCTTACGTTAATATACTTTGCGTTAGTACAACTTACTCTATCCTCATGCCACAAGTCTCATTTCCATATTGGGTACCTCCAATGACAATTGGGTACTAAAAGAGTAAAAGTAAATGAGGTGTTATTATGAAAGAATATGTTGACAGGAGCCATCTTTTCTTTGCTGGGGAGTGTGTGATACACACAGGTGTAGTAAAAATGTAATGTTTGTTTTGTTATTAATACTTATTTATTTATTGATGTATTTATTGATCTATTTATTTATAATGTGACAACAAGGGGAAAATAGAGTTGATTGTACACCAAGTTATTTATTAATTATTGCCACTAAAGACTGAGTTTTGAAACAATACAGCTCTAGCCACTAGAGGAAGCACATGGTGTGATTTGCCATGGTGATGCACGCTGTGTTTACCTCAGACACTACCAAGCTGCTCCTGAGGAAAACCACTGAAGTTTGCATGTGCTTTTGTTTCTCCTGATAATTCAGGAACTTTTAATCTGTTCATGTGTTCCACGCCTGGGACCCATTACAACATCACAAATCATGGTAACTTCAGTTTTACTATCCTCATGCTACGTCTAAAGTTTCGTGTAATAAGGCCTACAAACTAAATATTCACAGAAGCATTATTGAGAATACAGTTTCAAAGGAATGTATTGGAAGGGGAGGTCCTATGTGAAGAAAAACCCCTCCCAACAAAATGTATGTGTGCGGGGAGAAAGGAGAGTTACTGTAAGTGAGGCAGCAGGGGATGGAAAGTGAAAAAGGAGACAGTATAAACGAATGACGGGTACGTGCCAACCGTGGTCCATATTCAAGCTTGGAAGACACAGCAGGGAGAGCAGCTCCTGAAGTTATATATATACAGTTACAAAGATGCTAGTTTACTATGACTACTGAGTCTGTGGTTCGTGTTTAAGGTGGTCAATGACTTTTTTCTGGACTCCTTCGTGGATAAAGAGAATTAAATATTAATAGTAATATTAAATTACTATCAGGATTTATTAAACAAGTAATATTGAAATTAATATTAAACATTAATTTATAAAAATAATTACACACACACACACACACACACACACACACACATACTTGCAGTTTACATGTACAAAATTTTCATATTGATTTTAACATTACTTAATAAATGTGGGAGATATTGTGAGGGTTAGCTTGATCACTTTGGTTGACATTAATTAATTCTTTTTTTTTAATTTAATGCACATACATATGCACTACTGTGGATACCCTAGGGATGCCCCTTGTTTAAGGAGAAAAGGGGGCATTTCCCTGCCAATTTACTTGTTTACAATCTAAAAGTTGTCAGAGACTGCCAAAAGGCCACAATAATGCAATTCAGAAAGAAAATTGTGTTCCATCAAAAATTGCACAATAACATGACCGTGCATCTCACACAACTCAGTGCTATCAAGGTTAGTGAAACATCAGGAAACCCACTATTAACTCTCAGGAAAGATTGATAATAGAGAGGAAACAATCAAAACCAGGTGGAGAAAAACACATTTAAACAGTTAAGATATTAAATGCAGGGAGAGCATGGAGAAAACGTATGCCTCAAGGCTCTGAGCTGCGATCCCCAAGTGAAAAAAATATGTTTAAAATCCTGTGTTAAGGTGCTGCAACAAAGAAAGCGAGGGAACTTGGTAAAAATGCTATGACCTCCATGACCTATCAATCTACTGGATAATGGAAGTTCTACCAGACAGGGTCTGTCCAAAAGGATTTCATCCCAGGTCATGCACCAGTGTTATTTTAGTATAATTGAGATACTATTGTAGTTTTATTAATATTCTGAATCAGTTTTTTTATATATATTTTCTGATTTTATTTCAATTTTAGTTACAGTTTTTAGTATGTTTTTGTCATTTGTATTTTTTTAAGTGTCTAAACAGTTTTAGTACTTAGTAGTAGTTCACCTAAAAATGAAAATTAAAGGATCCATGGGTGAGCAAGTGATGTAATGCTCAATTTCTCCATCTGTTCCAATGACTAAATAAACTCATCTACTGTACATCTTGGATGGCCTGAAGGTGAGTAAATGTCCAGCAAATTTAAATTTTTGGGTGAATTATTCCTTTTGGTAAAACTAAATGAAAATGAGAAATGTTGACAACTAGCTGTTTTTTTTATTATTATTCTCTTTCAGTTATATGCACAGAAACCTCACCATGCTGCAACACAAGTAAGTGAATGCTCATGGTACAAACAACACGTAGAGTGCACAAAGAGTACATTTGTGGAAGGAAGACCAGAGCAACCTCATGTCATACCTGACCGATTTCTGCAAACTTCCCCTAAACAGAGTGAGTGAGTGAAGGACAAGGCCTCCAGAACACAACATCTCTATCAGAAGTGATGCAAGTAGACCAGCAATTACATAATGGGCTTAAAAACTGCAAAAATAAAGAGAGAATAGCAAGAGGGCTTGGTTCCATGCCACTGGGCTCTTCACCTATGTCCCGCAGCAGAATGCCTGGAATGTCCTGAAATCTCATTCCTGGAGGTCACCATAGGAACAACATGGCGCCAATTCAACTGAGAGCAAACAGAGCAATTATTGTTCCATTACTCAGAGGTCTGTTAACCCCCTACAAACACACAGACTCATATGCAAACAGTCAAACCCAACAATTTGTCTTTGTTTTGAGGCAATGGCTTGTGCGAGCAGCAGCTCCTCATAGGATGCAGGTGATGACAGCTAGCAGATCGAATTCATCGTTGCATATCATAAACCAGCGGCTCGTGCAAAGTTCTTGCAAAAACTGGCAGCTTTGAGGAACAGCGTGAGACATAAAACCACAAAATGATTATTACAAAATGAGTAATTGTGAGCAGTGGTGTGGGTCTTTTCCCACAGCTGCCTTCGAAAACTATATTTTGGATAATTCTCACAAATAACATCAAGGAAGCAATTTAGTCATGATGTATGAGTCCTGCAGAAAGACAGGAGACAAAATGTGCATAGTTAAGAAATACTAGACAAAAAAACGCATAAAAAGACATAAAACGCATCAACTCAAAGGAAAACTGTCAGCTGAAATGACATTATGTAAAATGTAGACACTGGGAATTAGCATTTATTCTTTAAGTTCTTTCTCATTGTTACGTAATCTCTGTGTTAAAGTATACTTTCTCTAAAAAATGTACATAGACAAAATATCAAAGCAACTGATATCTGCAATCAAATGACTCTAAAGAAATAACCTCACTTTTCTGAGCCTTTTATTTTTCAATTGCTAGTAATGTAATGTAATAAAGTATTGCCCACAAGGTTTTTACTTTTTAGTGTATGTATGAAGTCAGTTCCCCTCAAATTTATATAGGTACTCAAGCAGGAACCACAGCTTTAGTTCATCACATTCACTATATGTTCCACTGGTTTGACATCCAGAATATGTCCAAATAATTACTGTCTTCATTTGAAACATTAAATCTGTTGTTTTAATAGCAACCTTTGTAATCAGATTTAGTTAAGTAACATTAGTTAATGCATTACTTATCATGAACTAACAACGAATATTATATATTGTTCATAAAAATGAATGTTTGTTTTAAACATTAAAAATGGGAAAAAGGCATTTATAAATCCAGGTCAAATGTTATTTTCTACATATACTAATACATTTTACAATTTTAATGTCAAAATTTGTATACACATATATTAATGTATTATCACCAAAAATGAATTAACAATGAACAATAATATATTTATAAATGAACATTAACCTAAATTAAGAATTGCTGTGAATATTGCTCAGCGTTAGTTCATGATACCTAATGCATTACTTAATGTTAACAAACTGAATATTATTTTAAACCTAACAAACACATTTTTGTTAAATTTAATCAGACATTCAATAATTTTTGTGTGTGATTTAAGTGTCTATTTACTTTTTGGGGCCATTGTATGTTTGTATTACAATACAGAAGTTTTGTGAAAACATTTTTGGAAGAATACAGAATAACAATGTAAACTTAAATAATAGCTATTTCAAAGCAACACATGCAGAAACACAAACTACTATACAAAGAGTCACAGTCACTTGGATACTGTTTTGTGCTATCAAAGGTCAATGCTTCAAATACACCCTGATATCATCTAGGCTGGTGGTCCAGACATCCGACAGCTTTCTAGCGTCCAGACCACATGGCTGTTGATTAGCAGAGAAATCAGTGACATCACTCTCCCTCTGGGCACCAAACTCATTTATGTAAAAGACTGCAGTAACTGCTACCTAAGAAGATCAAGTACTCCTACAGATGCTTGAGAAGTTGATGCTGAGTTCCAATGGTTAACAAACAGCCAACATTTATTAAAAAATGTATAGCAAAATTGGCAAATTGGCTTTGTTTGTTGCTCTTTTTTTAGCAAGTTGACTGAGGCCAACCAGAGAATGTAATATGCGAAAGCTATGGCAAGTGGATATAGATGCTATTCTAAACTGCCTTGAACAAAAATGTAAATGTCCTTACCAGGATCTCTATGACAAGCAGCTGTTGGCAGAACAAACATTGAATTTCCACAGAAATGGGCTTAACTGAATACTCAGTGCTCTATCATACGTAATGGTTGATTAATCCAGGTCTCAAGGGAGTCTTTAACTTAAGGGAAATTGAACTTAAGAGTGATTCTTATCCCACTGAATGACTCTCACAGACTCATGGTGCCTCTTATAAAGTGTCCCTCTATGAATATTGCACACAAATGCAATTTGGTCATCATTTTTACCCATATCACTGACATTTCAAGTATATAGTGCTTTAAATTCTATAACATAAAAAGACAGAAACCAACTATAAGTTGAATAAGCAGCAAGTAAAAAATGGTTGTAACTTTAGTCTTACCAAGAAATATGTGGCATTAGGAAACAAGTTGACGGTCATACATCATTGACAGATGGCTTTCTCTCGTCTATACGGCACCATCTTCCTGTGCTTAAAATAGAAAATGCATCAATGAGATGTAAAATTGTGTCAATCAAGTGACAACATCTAAGAATTGCTCAGCATTTTTTTTTTTGTTTTGACCAAAATTTCCTGTTATACATATAAGACGTTTTAAAAGACAAAAAGGGATTCAAATTATGCTCTTCTGGAAAGTGATAAACTATGCATTGCACTGTATATGTCAGGAGCTACAAATATTTAGAAATTTTGACAGCATTCAAAATCAGCACAAAGAATCCATTCCTGAATAGTTTGTTAGAGCTAAATCTAGATTATTTAAAATCCAGACACGTCTCCGATGTCCAGCTCCGCAGATCATAATCTACATATAAAATGAACTTGGAATACCATTAACGGGACATCATCCTTCTAATCCATCTCCATGATGCCTTCCATGGCTGCCAGCCAAACCAGGCCAGCTTACACACTACTAGCTGTAACAGACATTAGTTATTCAGATGCACAGATGCCTGCGATCTAATCACTGATAATGCTGCCTTGATGTAATATCAAACAAAACACGAATACAGTGCTTCTTAAGTGACCCAATGCCTAATATTAGTCAAATCAATGGGCATGAATATTTCTCAGTCAAACTGGTCTTCTTCCCCCCAATATAGCCAACACACCTTACCTAATCTCTATAGTTTAAGGTTGCATTTGACCTGAGACACACTTTTCGATCATATTCTCACTCCGTGGACGAACAGAGAGATCACACTGATTTAGAGGAGATATTATCTCCTGCAAGGCTTGTTTGGCTGAGGTGTGAAACTCACACAGGTCCCCCCTCAACTTCAGCAGGGCAGTGACCTCCACTGGCCACCCACCAGCACACAGACCAGATCGCGTTTGTCAAGGCTTCATTCCTGGGATGGGACGAGGAAGTTAAGAGTCACTCTGTGCGGTCTGAGAACATCTATTTATGGCTTTTAGGCTAAGCATGAAAACGACCAGGACTGATGCGGTGGTGTGATGTTTCAGAGCATATTCCCTTGACTCAGGAATGCACGGCAAAGAGGCCCAACGAATCACACTTGAAAGTGAATGAAAAATAAAGAAATGTATACTCAGTATACACCATAATAAACTAAATGTCAATTTGAGAATATTTAAATGTTATCAAAACACACTGATGGTTATATAAGTTATTTGCGGTGGAACCAAGTCTGAAGTTTCAAGTTTATAAACTACAAATGAAAGGAATTTCATATAAAATATTACACCAAGTCTTTGTTATACATTTTGTTATTTTATAAACAATTAATTAACAATAGTAACAATAATTAAAAAAATTATTATTATTATTATTATTATTATTTAAAATCTTTTTTTTCTTTCTTTTTTGTCAACAGAAGGTATGAAATGAAGGTGAATAAATAATGAAAATTTTTCTTTTTGTGTGAACTATCCCTTTACTCTTTTTCTGCAAATTATACCACACACACAACCTAAGAATATCTTTCCTTCTTATGTCTTTAAATTAATCCCTCACATAAACATGGACTTTATGGTTTACACCAAATCTTAAATTCAAAACACTACATTTATCAGTCATTCCCTGAAGAGACAACCACAAACGAAAACATTTGGTAATTGGGAAAACCAGAAAGGTTAATGTCAAATACTTTTGCACCTTCAAAATAAGACTCTTGCATAATATTTGTGTGAAAGAAAATGATATATGTCACTCTCCATTATTATTAGCCATAATGGCTACAGACTGGAAGGTATTACACATAATTGCTAAACATATGCTACAGAATCCCACAAACACTGTGGCTGTGGCTTTGATTTAGTCTGAAGCTCAGACTGTTTTGTCATACCTTACAGACAGAAAAGTCACAAAAAATGTAATGGCACTGCCAAACAGCTCCTGCATGAGTGTATTCATCAGATGCAGATATGCAATACACCCTGAGATCTGACCATGATTTGATGAGATTTCCGTATTTACAACATGCCACTTCAGGACTAGATGTTTTTTAATATCTTTGTACAGTTATAAAAATTCCTCATGGTACACAATATGACATTATTATTTTGTGTTTATTTGCTGACAACTCTTCACAAAATGGAACACAATGCAACCCAACAGATCTTTTAAAGTGGGTTTCATTCTTAAAGGGATAGTTCACCCAAAAATTTAATTGTCATTATTTACTCACACTCCGGGTATTCCAACACCACTGACTTTCTTTAAGGACAAAAAAGAAGAGAAGAAAGAACAATTTTTTTTAGAGAAGAAAGAAAATTTCTTTCAATTTGGAATTACACGAGAGTGAATCAATTATGAGAGAAAGCCTTTACATCATCTGTGACCACAAGAACTGTATTCTGTTATGTGTGCATGAGCAGACAAGCCCACACTCAATTTCAGCTTCCTCTTGTATTACCAATCTTAACTGCCTGAATTATTTTTCTGTGTCAAGTGATTGTGCAATGTTTTGGATTAAGGAATAATCTGAGTTAAGATGAAAACGTAAAATTAACAATATAATTTGAGTCCTGTCAGCTGACTGTGGCCTCACATGGTGGCTCACCCATCAGTTACAGGTGATTAATGTGGATTGCAGCTAATTCGCTTTTAGTCTTCACAGCGTTCTTACAGTAAGCATGAATGAAAGGACCCGTCTGCAGTGATCGCATAAGATTAGATCAACTCGACTATTATTAAGTGGTTTTAGTCATAGTCGCCAGCCAAAAGAACATATTTGACACACTGAAAAGGAAAGTCATATGACACTGAAAAGAACACAATCCTTGCAAATCTACTTCCTCCATAAGGTCTTTGATAATGTAAAGATTTTCTCTGATGTCTAAGTATTAAATGTTGATTTTAGTCTAAAATGTTGCACTGGCAGATCAAAGGCCTTTTTGTGATTCATGCAGCTGCCATGATATACTAGGATACTAACATAATGGTGCTTTACACTGTATTTAAGTGGTACAATAGATCTAGATCCACAGATATACCGTACATTTCCCCTTCCTTTCTCATCAATCTTCAGTCCTTTAGACTTTCTTGCACCCCTATCATAATGATAACAATAGCACTATATCAGGTAACATAATAGGTCTGATGCAGAATGTATAGAGGCATAATTTAACACTATTTGACACTCAGACCTGAGGTCATTTTTGTTGCCAGACAGTAGCGAATGAGAAATTCTTAAAATATGAGACTTTGCAGAAATATTATACATACATAAACAAAATCAAAGAGGGAAAAAAACTATTTTTTCCTGCAGACTGGACAGCTTCCAGCTTTCATGAGCTTTGCTTTCTAAACATCTAAGGAGGAAACTACTTCAATCTTCATTAGCTAAATTCTTCAGAAGATATGCCTAGGAACTGAGGGAAAATATTTTGAGGAAGATAAAGACTTCTCCACAATTTATTACATACTGTAAGATTAGATCCGCTGTATTAAATATTATTAAAACAAAATCCATCAGCTCACAACAGAAACTTATACGAGAAAGACGTGAGATATAAACTATATTAGTTGACTGATAGTTTGGTTCAGTTCCTACAAAATCTGTGTGCTTCCTTTCGGTGACAGCTTAAGCTTTTTAATCATCTGAAGGCTGTCATGGCACAGGAGTGCGTGTGAAGCTCACAGGAGGCAGCGTGACAAGTTTAGGAAGCATGTCAGCTCGAGTTAAGCATTCTTGCCTGATCCAATATCTGCCACACCATTAACCAATGCATGAGCTCCCAGACACAACAGACAACTGCCTTTGACATACAATTTCTCATGTTATCTATTTTTAGACCTTTATTTGATCAGATAAGGAGTCGTGTGTTGTTCACAATGAGATGCTTTGAGCATGCTTACACCTTTGTTCAGGTGTAAGTAAAATTTTATAATTTATAATTTGTATAATTTATAAATAAAGTATAATTTTCTCTATGGGTCCGTGTAACGACAAACGTGTTTATTCAGGGCCTAGGCCAAAACAGCACTACTAGCAGAAAAAGGAAAAGGTGTGGGCAGAATAAGAGAACACCAATTTTCCAAGAAAATTAAAACACAAGCAGGGGCCTCATTTCTAATAAAACGTGTACAAGCACTCAAACTGTGATGATAATTTCCTGAATGTTCCTATGAATGATTTAGAAGAGCAAACAAGAGACTGGAATGTAACAGCATTTTTGTTTGTCTGTATATAGTTTGTCTGTATATAATTGAATTTATTGTAATGTTTGTACAAAAGGCTACAAATAAAACTGGTCAACTGACCTCATAGGCCCCAAAATTATCTGCACAGATACAGTATAAATACAAATTGTAGATAATATCCAAAGATACACTTCAATTTCAATGTTTGGGTTCAGTAAGTTTTTTTTTTAATTATTATTTATTTATTTTTTGAATGAAATAATTTTATTCAGCATTGATGCAATAAATCGATTAGAAATTACAGACATTTATATCATACAAAATATTTCTATTTTAAGTAAATGCTGTTCTTCTGAACTTTATAATCATCAAAGAATATCACAGTTTACACAAAAATTAATCAGCACAACTGTTTTCAACATTGATAGCAAGAAATCAGCATATTTGATTGATTTCTGAAGGATCATGTGACACTGTAGACTGGAATAAATTACATATTAAATATATATTAAAATGCAAAACAGTTATTTTAAACTATTTTTACTCTATTTTGGATAAAGTAAATGCAGCCTTGGTGAGCATAAAAGACTTCTTTTAAAAACATTTAAAAATTCCTAGCGATACCGAAATTTTGAATGGTAGTGTATTATCATTAGTTACACACTTTGCACTTGGATAACGTAAAGTCAGTAGTACATCAAGGCACATGCTTCTCTGCCTTTAAAAACACAGATTTGCTGCTCACTTTTAATAAAGGCTCAAATTCATTGAACTGACTGTATGTGTGTTTTATAAATGAGGCCCCGGAGCATAAACAGATGCCCAATATTACTCATGTGCCTGACAAGATAGTTAATCACATCTTGCAATGAAAAAAAAAAAAGCTATTCATCACCATCCCCAAAACAATTTATTTTGGAAGATGAGGATGTGATCATTTTTAAATGCATTGCTTACCTATACTGTGATGCACTACTGCGATACATTGACAGAGGTGAAGGCATGCATTGACCCTGTTTGACTACAGTGTTTCTGACAAACACATGTGTTAAGGTTTTGTTGCTGGAGCAACGGAGTTGTGAGAAATGGCATGCTGAAGCTCTCGCAGTCTAGACAGCAAGAAGGAACAAGATTAGAGAAACACAAGACAGATCATGCAAAATTACTATTCATTCAATGGAACCAGAAAGCTATAATGACTGTTTTCTTTTCAATATGTTCTCAACAGACAGAAGATAACAAAGATGACTATATATATATATATATATATATATATACACACACACACACACACACATATGCATGCATGCACGCACATTTTAAAAATAGTATTTTTTCTTATTTTTGAATTTTTTTTCCCAATAAAACTATTTAAGGCAAATTAATTTAAGAAGAGATTTATAATTAAACAAAAACATTTTGCCGAACATTTAAAAAAATATATATAATTCAAGATTTATTCTCTAAAGAAATTCTAATTATCTTATGCATTTTTGTTTATCAAGTAACATTTATCTTGTTTCAAGTAAATTTAGATAATATTATTAAAAAAAACAGACAAAAATATTAATAGAGGTATTATTATTTTCATCTCTTCATTATAATTTCTTTATTTTATCAAGACATATCTCCACAGTCATGGGGAGGGAAAGCAGATGAGCTCAATGCTGGAGGGGGACTGAATGTTTAATCCGGTGCTGACAGTGTATCTCACTCTGGCCGTTTTTGGCTGACATCCCAGGCGAAGGGGTTGGTGAGCTCTCAACTTCTGCCATGGAGTCACCAGGACAAAAACAGCGCCAGTTCGTCTGCACTGTCTGACTGAGCCTGTACCCATCGTCTCAACTGTTCCCATGAGTATCAGACACACACTCTCTCACACACATTCACAGGCCATAGATTTCTGGAGAATGGGCTGCTTTATCAATAATAAAAAGAATGCAGTATGAGATTTTGAAATATTATTATAATTGCTATAAATGTAACTGCTTTGTATTTTAAATATATTTCAAAATCTAATTTATTCCTGTGATGGCAAAGCTGAATTTTCAGTAGTCATAACTCCAGTCGTTAGTGTTACATAATCCTTCAGAAATCATATAATATGCTGATTTGATTTGGTGCTCAAGAAACATTTCTTATTATTATCAATGTTAAAAACAGTTGTGCTGCTTAATATTTTTGTGGATGCATTTTTTCAGGATTATTTGATGAATAGAAAATTCGAAATTACAGCATTTATTTGAAATAGAAATTTTTTGCAACATTATAAACATATTTACTTGTACTTTTGTTCACCGTGCTCAAATTGCTAGCATGTTCAAGTGTTTAAATGAAACATTAAAAACAAATGCCCAAAACAAAGATGTGAGACTCATGCACACCTTTTCCAGCTTTAGTCACTGGTGTTGGTGAGGAAGATGCCAAAGGGAACCATTATATTGGTAACCATTGTCTTCGTGACACTTTATGAAAGGCCACTCGTACAGGGTAATAAAACAGAGTCATTCCAGTCATCAGTTTGACAAACGCCGGCAGAGTAAGATCAAGGAAAGGACATAAGGTGTATAAAGGCACGGGATAATATCTGCACATACTGTGAGTCAAGAGAACCAACAGGCACAAACCATGAACTTGGCAGAATCCCTTAAACACCATGATTATTCCACACAAGATGTTCCATATTTTAGTGACACCTTCAAAAAGCTGGTCATTTGTGGGCCTTCAACCAGCCTCGTGGAAATGTAAAGGGAGCGCCAAGGACATTTCAGCGATAAAAAGGACCATTTTGCAGCTAAACCTCTAAGGAGAAACATACAAGCATGAGTTTTTCTGTTTGTTAATGCAGAATGTTCAACCCTAAAGTCAGCAGAAAGCCTGTGAGATCAGTTAAAATGGTAAAATGATTTTTTTTATGTCAAAGCAAAGGTATGCAGGTCAATATATTGGCTGCAGTTCAAAGGTCTGGGGTCAGTAAGATTTTTCAATGTTTTTGAAAAAGTCTCTTATGCTCACTAGGGTTGCATTTAATCAAACAATAACACAGTAAAACAGTACAATTGTGAAATAATATTACAATTTAAAATAACTGCTTTCTGTGATGGCAAAGCTGAATTTTCAGCAGCCATTACTTAGAAGTCATTCTAACTTTTCTCATTTCTAATAATTGTTGAAAACAGTTGTTCTGATAAATATTTTTTACTGTCTTTACTGTCACTTTTGATCAATTTAATGCATCCTGCGCCCCTTCAGCTGGTGGCGCCCTAGGCGACCGCCTAGCTCGCCTATGCCTAGAAACGGCCCTGTATTAACCTCAATGGGCCCCGGGGCTATGACTTACTGCAGGGCCCCCGTCACAATAATGATATATATAGCTTAACATAGGATTTTTATCCAAAGTTTCATAATTCTTGTTACCAATTCCAATATCTCAAAAAAAATTTAGTTATATTGTTGTTGTTCTAAACCTGAATGAGTTTCATTCTGCTGTTGAATGCAAACGTATGTATTTGGAACAATAGCCTACTGGTAACCAAACAGTGTCTGTGCCGCCATGACTTCCATAGTATGGAGAGAGAAAAAAAACACTATTGGAGTCAACAGGGACCAGAACATTTCTGGTGGTTACGAATATTCTTCAAAATATCTTCTTTTATGTTGAGGAGAACAACGAAATTCATACAGGTTCACAACAACTTGAACTTATGCCAGAATCGCATAATAGCCAACT